ACCTTCCTAAGGAATTTATTGTTTAGTACTCAAGAAATAATAGTGGTCTTGAATAATACAGTTGACTTTTATTTTGAAAGGGTTAAAGTTAGGCCAAAAGATTTTAAAGTGGACAAAAGTTAATGTCAGCAGAGAATTTATATGGGACTGCTTGCAATCTGTGAAGTTTTACAATACCCAGTTGGTATGAAAATGCTGTTTTCATTTTAGGAAAATGATTCTATGAACTCTTACTGGTAGAGGCTAAACATTTTGTTTAAATGATATGAAATATCTCATTAAGACCCAATGTGAAACCCAAATTACCACACTATTTCTAAGTAAAGTCTTGGTCTGTTTGGCTATTTAATTTTGAGGATTATTTTTCTATTTCAAAATTTTTACCTCCTAGACACTTAATTAGTATGTTCTCTTCCCTTCTTCAATGGATCCCCTATGCTGTCCATTCCTCCCCTGTACTCCTTACGCCCATGTAAAATTCAGTCCTGTCCCATTGAGGCCACACTTGGCTGAGGATATTTTAGTTCAATAGGATTCTTAGCATTACAAGTTATATATAATTATTTGATTGGAATACAGCTTGCAGCTGACAATAAAAATCTTAAAACTGAACAATTTGCAGTGTTCTGTTTATTAAGGGATTAATCTTCTGAAACAAATTCTTTGGTTTTATATACATTACACCCACCATATAAACTTCCTTAATCACATGATTAAGTCTTTTATTAATACTTGATTTATTAGTTTCATAATATTGTAAGTTACCCAATAATTTTGGTTGATCAAATTTCAGGTCACTTGGGCAGTATGTTAATCATTTACTTGTATATTCTGGCACATTATCTTTGATAAGTTTTTTAATCTAACCTTCAACCCAGATCAATTCATTTAGAAAATCTACAGTTTTTAAGAAAGTTTTAGTGCTCAAAGCTCTCAGCAGTAATAGTTTTTCTACCTGCCATAGCATTCTAAGTCCTGGTGTGATTTCCTTCTATTACATCATATTTTGTATAATTAAATGCATTGCTTTTTGTATCTTTACTTGTCAAAAGAGTTATTCAACACTAAATCACTTTAATCTTTTTCACCAAGGATGGAATAAGTCACATTTCAAGTTAATTAACAAATATTGTATGTCTTTAACTGACATTTTGAACTTTAGATGGGATTGTTGTTAAAAATGCAGTAAAACAACATTAAACATTTGAAGGCCTTATCTGTAACTGCCTTCTTTTAACAGTTAATGTGTTCATATTTTCTTTCTTTCTGTTCTTTGTGTGTGTGTGTGGTGTGTGTGTGGTAATAACGTACCAGTACCAGTTTATAATCTGCTTTTGTCCCTTTAAAAAATTGTGGCAAAATGTAATCTATTTTTGATAAGTATTTTATTATTGCCCATTGCCAGTGGACTTTTTATTTAAATTCATCATTAAAACCAAACCTTTTACTGTTGAGCTAGAAGATAAATTCAGTATAGATTAGAAACACAGACTTCCCCTATTTCTGGTAGTCTTTGAAATTTGCATATAATAATATTGTTCTGATTTTATATGTCTTAAATTCCTGCTTATGAATTCCTTGGTATCTTTCCATATATAGAACACCTAGGTTTTTTTTTTTTCTAACAAGTATTTTTTTTTTATTATACTGAAGAATATTTTACTGTTATTTACCTATATACCAACTTATATTAACTTATTCTTCACTGATAGGTGTTAAAGTTTTAAGTGAAACAATTCTGCTGTTAATTTCCCTGTTTTTGTATCTTGGTGCTATGAGCAGTAATAAACAGTTTATAGAATATATTACTGCTGGAGGACCTGGTGGGTCAGAGGGCCTTTAAAAATAAGATACTTTCTAATTGCCCTCCAGGAAGGTCATACTTGTTTATCACAGGACACACACTTCTGACATGCTACTAATACTGGTGGGATGCATGTTTTTAATCTGGTAGGTAAAATCAAGGAGCTCTTGTATGTATCTTGAATCTTGAGTGCTATGGGCACCAATTGTTTTATGATTAGCCATTTCTTCTTGCAACAATTCATAAAAATTTCCATTTTTCTATAATTTTTCTTATTGTTTTAAGCTTTTTGTAATAATAATTTTTATACCAGCTGTGTGATATTGAGTATTATAACACCATAATAATCATGAGCCTTCCTGACATAATTTTGCAAATAATTTCGTGCATGCATTTTGACTTTGGGTGATTGTTTTCTTAGAATACGCTTGTTAGAAATGAAATTGGGTAAATGAACTTCTGTATATTAACTTCTTTTACTAATTGTAAATAATACTTAATAGTTATTATTACTAAAGTATTCATATTATATGTAAATGGATAAGAATGCAAAAGAAAATCGCCTGTAATCCTACCACCACAAACACTATAAACTTTATACTATATGCCTTTCTGATGTTTTACTTTTCTATTGAATAACCTGCCATTCCTTCCTTAATATATGCAAGGAGAATTTTATAATGTCAATAAAGAACTATATACTACAGCATAAATTTTCTTTTGTTGCTTATGTTTTGTGAAAATAACAAAATGTACACTATATTACTATCATTAAAAATTTTTCAGTTGTAACCATTTTCAGGGGTAGTTGTGAGACCATAGTACATTCACAGTGTTGTACATACACCAGCACCTCTCTCCATCTCCACCAGGCAGGTAGAAACTGTACCTGTTAGTACAGCATCTTTATACCTTTAACTTTCCCGTACTGTAGACATTTGTTTCCAGTTTCCTCCACCTGTAGGCAAGGATTCCTTCATTATATCTTTATTTTGATTAATTTGTCATACTAGCAGTTTTTTAGAATCTATAGCAGTAACTATGGTAAGGATGATGTTTTTTAAAGATTGATTTATTTATGCACACAAGAACTGAAGTTACAGGCTAGAGATGTGGAGGATTCACTAGAAACAGGGTGGGGAGCAGAACAGGCAGTTCAAATGAAATGCACTGCCGAGGGGAGCAACGGGCAAGGCAGGAGAGGTCTGCTGAGCCATGTGGGTCACTTCCGTGGCCGGGGATCGAATTCATGCTTCAGCGGCTGCCCTTAGCTTCACAGTGCTGTGTTTTAACCCCTTGTGCCACCAGGGAGGCCCCCTGACAAGGATGATTTTTAAAATCAGTTTTAGGTATTATGTTTTCTTTTACCTCCCACAGAAGAATTTACCCTAATTTTATAATAGAAGTTATTTGAAATAGAAGGTTATGAATACATTATAGCTTTTGAGACAAATTTGCATTTTAAAATTGTTTTATAAAAGGAAGGATACTTAGGGAATAGAAGAGTCAAAGTCTCCTCTAAATCAGCAGCTGTTGTCAGTGACATTGATTAGTTGGAAGGGTGAGCAGGGGTGCAGTAGAATATATTGTTTATTTGGGGAAATGTACATGTATTTTGCTGATTTGGTGGAAAAGACTCGACTACCATATGTTCTGCTTTGCTTAACTAGTTAGAGATAATATGTGCTGTACTTAACCCAGGTTTTGATTTTATGTTACTGTAAATGCTGATTGCTTTTGCACAGAGAATCTTCAAATACATTATTTTAAATTTAAAAGGTTTCTTTTTGATTAACTGTAAAAATCCACAATAACTGGGACCAAATTAGAATCCTCCATATAAAGAATATTTATGCATGCAGAATTGGGGGACAGGCCAGAGGTACATGGGTGGTGAGAGGATTCACCAGGAACAGAGTGGGGAGCAGAACAGGCAGATCGACGATACACTGCTAAGGGAGCAGTGGGCGGGTCAGGAGAGGTCTGCCGCGCCATGTGGTCACCTCCGGGGCCAGGAATCGAACTCAATTGAAGCGGCTGTAGCTAGCTTTGCAGTGCTGCGTCCTTACCCATTGCACCACCAGGAGGACCCAAAAATTTATATAGAAGCACTAGGGTGTAGGCCAAAGGCATGGGGGTTGGGGGAGGTGAGAGGATTCACCAGAGACAGAGTGGGGAGCAGAAGAGGTGGATCCACTGAAATACACTGCTGAGGGGAGCAGCAGGGTAGACAGGAGAGGTTCTGTTACACAATATGTGGGTTAGCTTCCCATGGCCACCAGGGAGGTCTTTAGAATTCTAGTGAAGTCACCATAGACCGGTATAAACTGTCTTGTCTTCTCCCTGGTGGCTTGAAAATCCACTTGCACCTATGAGGATGCAGTGGTGGTGCTGGAAAGCTACACATGGAGAATACTTGGTCTTGGTTACCCTTGCTCCTATTTTTCTTCATCATTGTTACTACTGAGCTCGAATATAGGAGTCTGTTGGCCATATTTGAAGAATAAGATGATCTCCTCAAGGCACTGTCTCTCTCTCTTTTTTTTTATTCTCTTAAATGTTATTTTATTTTATTATTTTTTTTAATTATTACAAGTTTATTTTTACATCATTTTGCACATTTTTTTTTTCCATCTTGATTGTAATCCCCGCGGGTTTCCCATCACCAAATCACCCGTGAAGGCACTGTCTCTTAAAGGGGCATCTGTGTTAGGTGATTTAACACGGCCCTCCAACTTGATCCTAAGACAGGAATCTTCAACAGGGTATAAGCAATATCTACAAAATTGTACTTGTTGGTGATTTGAAGATAGTATATATTGAGAGGAGTGCTGGAGCTTCCATTGCTCTGGAGTGGCTCTGCTCTGCTCTAATGCCAACTGGCAATAGGAAGTTCTAAAAATTTTTTTTTGTATGATGTGATCAGCCAGTCCCCACTGGGAACCATACTGGCCAAAGCCACCCTTTTCCCCAGAGGCATTGACATTCTTCTTCCTGGAAACTTTTGATACTTCACAGCACAACTTTCTTGAAAACCATCAAAAGAAAGCTATCTTTTGGGAAGCAGAGAAGTTCATTGTGAAGAATTGAAGTATTATATGGCAGAGAGTGGGTGGGAGCCCAGGTTCTCATTTTAAGACTTTTTTTTAATGTCAGAAGCATAATTCTTCTAATAAAAGCCTCTGCTTCTCCCCAGGATTGGCAGCCACCATTTGCATGTGATGTTGATAAACTTCATTTTACCCCACGCATCCAGAGGCTGAATGAATTGGAGGTAATGTTTTAACTGCTATTCTGGTTGCCTGTATCCCAGAAAGGGCCTTCTTAGCACTCTCCTATCTCAAGTCTAGTGGCGTTTCTGAAGCTAAAATATAGCCAGTAATTGATAATCACACTGGAAGAAATAGGAAGAAGGCTTTTGCAGCAAACCATATTGCATTGAAAACACTGATTTTTATTAGTAATTGTTGGTTTATAATTTAATGCACTTCTGTCTTAAATTCAGATGACAGCCTCTAGAATTTGAGTTTTAAAAGTTATGTACTTTAGCACTGTCTAGTGGGAAAAACTTGCAGCTCAAATTTATTTCCAAATACCTGTCTATATGTAGATTTCATGACACTCAGATTTCCCAAGGAGGAGTGAGACTTAAAGGGGACTCTTGACAATGATAATGTTTCCTCAGTCTCTGCTATTGTAATTCAGAATGCAGGGAACATAAAGCTTGGGTATTGTTAACATAGAGGTAGGTGTTTACATTAATATCTTGCTAAACTGATTGTAGTATTGAACCTTGTTTTCTTATTTTATACTAACTATTCTTAACTTGCATGGGACTACTGTCCTTTGGAATCTGTGCCCAAGTGGTGTGGCAGCTAGTGTATATATTTTCAGGTTGAATTTGAAAAATAGGAGCTGGAAACTAACTTTGAGGTCTTGTAATGTTGCAAACATCAGAACTTTGACCTCAAATTTTGGTTTTGTACAAGATAGAAGCTCTAAAATGAAAACCATTATTTAATAAGATAGAAAAATGAAAACGACAGATTGAAAAAAAAAGAAGACATGGAAACAGTGCTGATAATTTGTTAAGGAAATTTAGAAAGTGTCCCTGGTTTCCTGTTATCCTTAAGGTATTAGCAATTACTGAAATTGATATGAAATCACTATTGTAAATCTATTTTCAGATTTGTGTTTGAAGAGAACAGGTGTTAAAAATACCTAACTTATGAAAAGATGAAGGGTGGGAGGCAGGGGGAGGGTGAGAAGAAACTTGTCATGTAATTTTACCAGTCACAAAATTTAAGGTTTATCTAACAGGCCTTACATGAAGCATCTTTCAGAATGTCTACTTACGTCATGGAAGCCTTATTGAGTGTGTATATCTTTGCCTGCCACATGGTAGATAGTCAAACTGTCCTTGACTGTTGTTTAATTATTCAACCACTAGTATTTTGTATATATGTAGCAGCCTCCTCTATTGAATTCAGAGATGGAATTGCACTTAAATATTCTAGGAGTGAGAATTCCAAAGGCACAGTTTGAAGACAGGAGTTTTCAGATTAGCAACATAAGGTTAAAACTCAATTCTTTCTCATTTAGGCGCAAACTCGTGTAAAATTGAATTTCTTGGACCAGATTGCAAAATATTGGGAGTTACAGGGAAGTACTCTGAAAATTCCACATGTGGAGAGGAAGATCTTGGATTTGTTTCAGCTTAATAAGGTAAATGATCCTTTAATGACTTTCCCATTTAATAATCTCTCTGAAAAGCATGAATTTGATCTTCTTTGACTTTAAAACAGACTTACTATTTGAAATATGTAAAGTGAGACCCTCAATTTATTTGTGATCTACTTATCAAGTCTTAAAATCTTATCTTGAAGCATTTTGCCACCACCTATTTTTCAGCTTCAAAGTATAGATCTAGAAGGTATTCTTTTCTTTTTTATTGCAGATAAGAAAAGTTGTAGAAAGAGAAAATTGACTAAGCAAAAAGATGAAGTGGTAATTAGTACCTTAGCTTCAGTTTCACTTAACTGTAAATCCTCCATTTTTCTCACCAAATGCTGCCATCCTGTCTACTGTAGTTTTTCTGGTGATTTTTTTTTTCCTGGAGATTTTTAAGGTCACTGAGTAGGTCCAGGTTGTTAGTACCTCCTTCTTTATTAGATTTAAAATTTCTGCCTAGTTCTTCTTCCTAGAAAATCTTGATATCTTGGGGAACCGAGAAGTAATTTCTGTGGGCACATTTAAAAATGCTTGTGGACTGTTGTCAAAAACGATTCAACCTTATTGCTTAAAATTAATAGCACATGTGTCTTTTCTTTTGACTGTAAGTGTATTTTGAAAACATCACCACAACCAAGAACATTTTGGCTTTGGAGCCATAGGCGTGAGAATGAGAAATAATTTCCAAATAGATGTTTATAATTTTCTTATGCTGTATTATTTGACAGTTGGTTGCAGAAGAAGGTGGCTTTGCAGTTGTTTGCAAGGATAGAAAATGGACAAAGATTGCCACCAAGATGGGTTTTGCTCCTGGTAAAGCCGTGGGCTCACATATTAGAGGGCATTATGAGCGAATCCTCAATCCCTACAACTTATTCCTGTCTGGAGACAGTTTGAGGGTGAGTATTGGGATTAGCCTTAACCTGCTCTATTTCAGTTTCTTGGGACACTGTCTTTTAGAAGGAATGAAAGGCCTTGATTATGAATGGAAGGCGTTGTGCAGAAGGATGTTCTGTGCGTTCCTCCATGTTTGTTCTAACAGAAAACATACCTAGAAGTTACTTAGTTTTTGAGACAATTAAGATTGTAGAGGAAATGTCTTCTTGCTGTCAAAAACTGAAATCTCTGTTAACTTCGCTATAAGTGTTTCTTCTTTACAAGAAGTGTGTGATTATTGTCTAATTTGTGTGTCTTAGGCGTTTGGCTCAGTTGTCCCGTTGAGGGTGACTTGTGGGAAGTAGCTTGCTTAACTTTTTTTTTTTTTTTTTTGATTAGTTGATATCTCCAAGTAGCTTTTGGTGGAATGTTTGACTCTGGGAAAGGGTGGGGGTGGTTTATTAATGCTGGGTAGCTAATGGCTCTCTCTTCTCATATTTCTGGGTAGCCATATATTTTTTTCCTACAAAGCTTTGAAAATCATTCAGATAAAAGGCTTTTGCTCTGATTTATGCCAAATGATACTATAAGAGGTCCAGCTTACTTGAATGCTGTGGTAGCAAGAAATAGTTCATAAACTGTTTACACCTTTGGTGTTTTCTTAAGACTCTTTCAACAGTGAGCCCTATAATTGTAAGAATTGTGACAGTGCTTTGGAGAGGTACCAAGGTAATAAGGCCATCTCAGAGGGGAGAGTGCTAATCAAAATTCCGTCTTGATGTTTGACACACCTGCCGATGCTTATACAACCATGGCTCTTTGTAGTATTGTGTTTTCTCATTTTCTTCCTTTCTGATTTGAGGTGCACTTTCTTTCTAGCTAGAAATATTCAGAATTAAAAAGATAATAATAATAACATACATGTTATATATATTAATGTTTAGTGAGTCCAGGGATGAAATTAGAGCTTTGTGTGCAAAACCTTTGTCTCTGCCTCATTTTTAAAAAAGATTTATTTATGCATAAAAGAGCTGGAGTGTAGGCCAGACATATGGGGATGGGAAGTGGGGATCAGAAGATTCTCCAGAGACAGAGTGGGGAGTAGTCAAGTCTAAAGAATCGTCATGTAAAGATAGCCTGTACAAATATTTCATCTATATCAGGATAAATAAGCTGTTCAGATATCTATTGTGTGCTAAGTGTATTCCAGGTACTGTTACATCACTATTTTAGAAGGCTTGAGAACAAAGAAAATTTTAATCCTTTCCTCTGATTTTGCTTTCAAGGATACTTTCATGAATATATACATAAATCAGAACTGTGTTATTCATGTAGAATATGCTAGCCTTGCTACATATTATGAACATTTGACTTGTTATTCAATATTTTGAAGATGCAGGGTTGGGATATTTTGCTGTTCCTGTTTAAATTAGGATAATGGTGGTTTGCAACGCTGTTTATGTTTTGGGGATATAGTGTCACACCTTCTCAAATGTTTGTTACCATACAATACTCTCCACCAAAGTGCCAGTAATCCTTCACCATCATCCACTGGGTCCTCTTTTCCTACCTTTGCGTTTCATCCCCACCTTCTAGAACTGAGTTTGCCTCAGTTCTGCAGTGACATATCAAGGGTTTATTTTAGTCTGGTTTTGTGAAGTCATGATGTATGTATGTTTGTTTTTTAAAGATTGACTTATTTACATATACAAGGTCTGGGGTGTGCAGGCCAAGGTTCAGGGGGAGGTGAGAGGGTTCACCAGAGACAGAGTGGGGAGGGTTCACCAGAGACAGAGTGGGGAGCAGAACAGATGGATCTGCTGAAATACACTGCTGAGGGGAGCAGCAGGTGGATCAGAGAGGTCTGCTGTGTCACGTAGGTCACCTCCCTGGCTGGGGACGGAACTCTTGCTGCAGTGGCTGGCAGTAGCTTGATCATGCTGTGTCTTTAACCCCTACACTACTAGGGAGGCCCCCATTTCTGATGTTAAATCATAATACTTGGAGAAAGGGATAATTGGAATGCATATATTTTGTTTGAAAAAGAAGAATGGGAAAGATCCTACTATACATTTCCAAAATGGTCACAGTCCAGAACACTGAACACACAGATTTGGGTGAGAATGTGGAGCAGCAGGGACTCCCATTCCTTGGTGGGGGATAGAAAGACTACAGCTACTATACTCTGGAATTTAGTTTGGTGGTTTTTTAGAAAGTTAAGCAAGCTTTTACTGTACCATCCAGCAGTCATGTTCTCGTATTTTCCCAGAGAAGTTGAAACTTATGTCCAAACAACATTTACATGGCTATTATCACAACTTAGTCATAATTGTCAAAACTTGTAAACAAGCAGGATGTCCTTAAGTTAACAAGTGAAGACCTAAACTATGTCACCTCCAAACAATGGAGTATTACTGCTGAAGAGAAGTTAGCTATCAAGTCATGAAAACACATGGAGGAACCGTACGTGCATATTATCAGGTGAAGGAAGCTAATTTCAAAAGGCTAAAACCATATGATTCTATCTATATGACCTTCTGGAAAAGACAGACAACACTATGGAAATAAGAGAAAGATTAGTGGTTGCTGAGGGTTTGGAGTGGGGAGCAAGGGTGAATAGGGCACAGGATCTTCAGGGCACTGAAAACACTATGCATCATACGCGACCTGTGGTCACGCATCTGGAAATCCATGGCCTGTGGAAAGGCAGGAAGCAAGTCCTTTAAACTGCAGACTTTGGCTGTTAGTGGGGTGTAAAGTAGAGTTCACCTAGAGTAAGTTTAAAGAAGAGTCTTGAGGTGATGTACTGGTGGAATGAAGCAGAGGCCTCAGTCGCACACGCCTATTTTTTTATTTTTATATATTTTTTTTTTAAAGATTTATTTATTTATTTGTGCATACAGAACTGGGGTACAGGCCAGAGGCAAGTCCTTTAAACTGCAGACTTTGGCTGTTAGTGGGGTGTAAAGTAGAGTTCACCTAGAGTAAGTTTAAAGAAGAGTCTTGAGGTGATGTACT